CCAATGTTGTTCGAACCCCCATTACCCTGAATACAGTATTAAGTAATGTTGCTCGAATCTCCACTATCCCTACTAAATAAAAAGATATATAAAAAGTAACTTTTACTCTTCTCTACCAATTCTAAGTTTCTATACTTCAACCTAGACCCTTCTACCTTTACCCCTAACTTGTAAAAGTAATATTCCTCTTCTAGATTAATTCCTATAGACAAGGTTATCACTGTGTGTTTGTTTAATAAAAGTTAATCTATATACTGTTACTATCTCAAACTGTTTGCTTGCTGCTATATAGTAAAGTGAACTACTACACCTCTACCCTGTATATATTTGCAATAGTTAATCACTATATCAGGTGATCTTGTTACTTGGTTGTATTGTACCAAAAAGGTTACAACCCTGTGACAGCATGAATATAAACAGTAAACAGTCTGAAATAAACATTCTGAACAATTAAAATTATAATAAGAACAGTCATATTAGCCAATCAAGTTATTCAATAAACTATATAACATGAACTTATACAGAAGAATTTTCAAAATTCTGAGTTAAAACCATCAAATTTAGTCTGGCATTTAGTTAGCATTTAGTAATACAAATTAACTATTTTTGGGCTAAAATTATCAGCTGAGCAGCTTTACTTAATAAGTAAGTTATGGTTTCATTAGTAAAACTTTTAGTGAACTTGGGCAAAATTAGTTAATTCCGGCCCTGCCGATCATGATTCCGAAGTATTCCGACCCAGAATTTTGGGATCAGTTTATAACATGGGACATTGTCCGGAATTTCCTTATGTAAAGAAAATCCTGAGCTGCCGGTCAATTAGATATGGGTCGTAGTATATCAAAAATTCTCCATACATCTAACATCAACAATTGTGTCCTATAAGTAAATTTCATTCTGAAAACTTTTACTTAGAGGTCGGAAGTTAGTCATCATAGTAAATTTTTGTGTTTCTTATGTTTTTCGTATTTGTTTTGTTACACGATATCCTGTGATTTTATTGGATCCGGAAGTGATCTTCAGCCCGGGATTTTCTTTGCTTAAGGTATCCCGTTGTCCGGGACATGGGACACTGTCCGGGACTGTCCGTGTCCGCGCTTTTATTTATCAAATAACTCGATATTCATAGTAGGCTACCTTGATAATCAACTACTATCTGGTAAATAATAAATCTACTTGGCAAACAAACCATAATGAGCTGCAGGATAAATTGAAATAAATAATACTTTATAAATCAAAAGGGAGACTTATTGTTATGATTCACTACATATTTACTGTATAGTCGCGAAATAACGTACCTCTGCGTGTTACTTTGTTATTTAAAGATCTATGTACATCATTTCGGGACACGCATTAATGTTATTTCGAACCAGGTAGCCAATTTTCGGAATAGCGCCCAAGAGTTTTATTTCGTAATTATGTGATAATATTTTGGACTTATCTCGTTTTCTTAGTTTTTAAAAAACTGTGAAATGTGTTTATTTCTTTCAGGCTTGGTTAGTTCTTTCTCTATACACTGCTTTCAGGATTGGGTAAATGTTTAATGGATATTATCGCTATTCTCAATAATGTATTCATATCAACTAGCAAAGATTGTTCAAAACTATAAGATATTAAAGAATGATAGGAATTAAGGTGTAATACGCGTAATTACAAAAAAACCCCTCAATACTGGTTTAACCAAGGCGATTGTGATTAAGATTAGAAATATATGTATTTAATAAATATAATGTGCCATTTTTATAATAAACCTAGACGTTAAAATGTTTGTTAACGCTATCTATTTCCTACACGATAAAATCTACAGCTCGAAACTTCCATTTTGTAAAATTACTATTAAAAATTTATCATCAAAAGATTAAAAAACAAAAAAAAACATGCCCATGTTTTTAATTACATAAGTTTTTTTTTTTGAAGACAAAATAGTGATAATTAACATTCTATACTTTCAAGCGAAATTGTAATTTATAATTAAGATGATGGAGTTTTGTTTGGAGGTTGGGTTTCATATGAGAAGAATTCAAATTTAAGCAAAAGTGCAAATGCAGCATGAGCTACTAATACAAAAATTAAGAACAGACGAGAGGTTTTTGCTTCCGCACGTGATATAACAGGATAAAGATTCTTTGTTATAAAGAACGCTAAGAATGTTTTAATAGAATTGGGTTTATGTTAATGAGCTAATAAAGACGCTATACACAAAAGGAATGATTGATGGATCTTACCAGAAATAACGAATCCGACAATAACAAATATCCATTGTAACAAATTATGTCGAACTATGCATAAGACCTTTGTTAAAATATTAATATATAAAAGAAATTAGTCTTTGGAGTCTTCGAAATATTTTTCACAGCCATGAAAACAAGTTACTCACTGAAATTGGGAGCCAGATGGTCAATCCGTAGCCATATAACCCTACGGTATCCATCAATGAAGGACGACACCCAAAATACTTTAATGCACCCCAAACAAATAGAGATATCCCAAAAGTATAACTATAAATAGCAACGGTCCCGAAAGAGAGAATTTTGAAGTCATAATTAGTTTTTCCCCCTTGAATAGCATCGATTGACCCCGCGATGGAAGATGTTACAAAGAGAAGGAATATTAAAGTTGTAGATATCCAAAAAGGACCTATAAAAATTGTATTTTTAAAAAAATTTGATATGTTAAAAAAGGATATTTATACAATTATCATGTACCATATAAGTCCGGATTTGATCCAACTACTTCAGCAAAATTGTCTTTAGGAAAAAGACTTTTTATCGCTCGTGTAAGGACCTAAAAGAAAAAAAACATTCAGGATAATTAATTAAGTGTCTTATAATCCTATAATAATATATAGAAGTCAATCATTGATAATGATTACAATACTTGTTCCGTGTCCACGTCAAAATATTGAGCGTAATATTCAAGTGACCAAAATGGATGTCCACCTTGCGGTGCAGTTTGGGGTGTACGTGTATCGAAGAATGATGTATCATTAAATCCTTTGATTAATAAAGCATTCGTTTGTGAGCAATAATTTAATGACTCTGTATAAATTTATTATAAAATGCTTAGTAATTATACCAGAATTATTAGAGGATTGCTGTTTATCTTGTGTAATTTTTCCTCCAACCCCCGATCCAGAAGAAAAATCTATTATAATACTTTCTTTAGTAATGTTCTTGAAGCTGTATAGAATAACATAAGTATCTCACTTTGAAACTCGAGTTCTTCTCTCGTAACGGGGGTCTATACAAAGCAAGTTGAAAAGTAGCTTTAGCAAATAAGTCCCTGAATCGATACTCATTGAATTTTGAACACGATCTGTTTAACGTACTTCGTCGTCCATTTCGACGACCACACTGTATTCCTCTCTCGCCATCTTTCGTAAAGTATTTTAGCAGTAAGTTAGCGAGGTAGTGAAAAGCTTAAACTACCTTAAGAAAATAAATAGGATTTATTCAATCAAAAATAAAGCGTCAAGCGAAGTGCTTAATATTGCCTGCCCAACTATTCCAAGCCACGAATATAGTAATCTTGATGCATTCTGATTGGTTAATCATATACACAAACTACATTGCATACACAATTACACAATTATGGAATATAAAGATTATTATAATGATAACCAATACCAATACCCGATACGCATTTTTGGAAAATCACGCCTAACGCTAATGCTATGATTTTGACATCAGTAAAAACATATCGATATGAATTTATTAAAATTTTGCAAACCTCTTTATAATCACACTATTGGTTTTAAGAATTTGGTGCTTATAGAGAGTTTGTTTCTATGTATATGGAGGTTAAATTTTATAAGCGTTATATAAAGTTGGTTTTAAAAATTTATGTGATTATAATCAAATGTGACTATAGAGGAGGTGACTATAGAACTGAATTATTTTGTGTCAATCAATTACAACCGGTTGAGATTAATAATCTCTACTTCAAAATTTTCAGAGCTTCACTCAAATTTTATTTTAACCTTACTATTCTCTTATGTTCATTTGGTTTTTTTTTTAACTTTTTGAAATCTTTGCTTTTTCATGGTCATTTGCATACTTTATTGATTTTATCAACTAGTTACCCAATTCTTGTTAGCTGTACTGAGTCAACTAATTAAGAATTTGCTTAACCAGTTTTCTAAAATTTATTTAGGCCAGTTTGGTTAGTATAACTAATTTAAATTATTATATATATAAAACAAAGAAAAAAAATTTTTAGATCTAAAATCAAGTTAAAATTTTTTTTATTTTATTTTTTAAGTTAAAATTCTTATTTTCAAAATGTGACATTTTTATTCAAGTATATAGAACATGGCATGCCACTAGGAGTTACCTTACAATAAAGGTTACAACTAGTCACATGTGCACTTTTGGTGCCTAATTTAAGTAGTTTGCTTATATATTACTATATAAATTCTATACTAGATGCCATACCTGCAAGCCAATTAGAAGTCTTGCTTATTTAAACCTTCTGCATATGCAATTCTCTTTGTATTATAAGAACATCTTCAAGATTATACACATCTAAGTTCCTAATGCTGGTTGATACCCTTAAAACTTATTAGAGCCTATATGTCTTATACATATTGACCTAGTTTTATGCAATATGCTATAGTTATTTAATACTTGTAGTCATAAGTGTTACTTGTTTAATTATTATATTACACTATTTCTATCTTTTGTAAAGTTTATTAGAACCCTAATACCTATCTTTCTGTTATCTTTTTTAGTAGGGATAGTGGAGATTCGAGCAACATTACTTAATACTGTATTCAGGGTAATGGGGGTTCGAACAACATTGG